CTATTTGACTAATGTGGTTCCAGATGATTTTTTATTATATAGAGTTGGTAATAATTATAGTACAGGGTGTAATTATTGCTCTAATTGTTATTTGGTGATGATTAGGTTGTGCGGGAACGAGGTTGGGTCATCTATATGGGGCAATGCGTGTCTCGTAAAGCGGGCGCCGTCATCGCAACCGGTCATCGCGACTCGCTCACGTATCGCATCATGGATAAACCCGCCAAGGTAATTAATTTAAAAATCACTAATTATCTCATTAACCTTCATCAAGTAAAATTTTTCTATATATTATTAAAAATGTTAGGGTTAATCATTTATGTAAAATGATTTGATCAGATTCTTTTACAAAATGGTAACGATTAGTAGGTAATATGTAATCATATCAAATTACACGCTTTTACAATTAGATTCTTTAATACGACGATCATAGTAACCAGAGTATCACCAGCTCATATAACTTTATCGGTTGGTGAGATATTCAATGCCATGAAAACCACAAGTTAGATGTTCCTTAGAATATTATACTCAGAATTCCTTTCGTAATTTAACATCATTTTAGTAGTGTAATATTCATAATATCTGAAGAATTTTAAAAACGTTCCAATCGAACACACATTGAAGAATAGCAAATAACTATACATCTGCATGCCTACCTACTTTTCAATACATTCCACGTAGCAGGCAACAGCGTAGTCACTTATACTTTTACCGTGAATGAAAATTATTATTTTATTTCTCAAAATAAAGCTACACTAATCATTATGTTTCTCAAATATTTATTTATCATTTATATATCATTTTACTTATCAATGAAGTAATAATTATAACGAAACAGTGGTATATAAAAAATAAAATGCACTTGGAATTTAAAATATTTTTAAATATTTAAATATTTTTAACTCGTTGAAATTAAATTATCCATAATATAAAATCATGAATTAAACAAATTAAATTATGGAGAAATTTCGTTATGTCTACTTACGCCATTGAGTGGGTAAAATATACATCATAGGCTTTCTTGTTCTTCTCCTTCCTTTCACTTGAGCGTCTGTAGTATTTCAATATACGTACGTGTCTCATTATCCCATTACTTCCTGCATCGAAATCACTAGGAACTTGTTTCAGCCATTTAGATACGGTTTTATAAAAAAAAAGAGAAAACCGAATAACTGAATCAAGTAAATATTAATTTAAGTTTTCCCGCGTAAATATTTGTACGCGATTGGTGGTCCGCCATAGGGTGTTCCAGAACTACCGTTGGTCCCTTGAAGGGGTGGTAGCTGGGGTGATTCTGGGGCCTACGTCGGGCCCGATAGCCGACTCTGCCGTCCCTGAGCCCGCGCGCTGTACGCTCTCGGATTGGTCAGTGTTTTCCGTTAATAATTCAAAAACGAAGCTTCAAACAACATTTTGCCAAAGGAAAATGTTGTTCAGAATCACCCCAGCTACCATCCCTGCAAGAGACCAATGGTAATTCCGGAACACCCTGTACATGGGGTTCCTCCCCTACAATCGTCAGTCTTCCAAGGGACGCCCACGGAGAAGGGTGGGAAATGAGATATGAAAAAATTATATTGCAATTTCGCTACCCACGAAAATAATTACAAAGTAAAGGTAAAGATTTTATTTTTCAATGGTGGCACGTAGACATCTGCTAAAGTATGCAAAATCCGTAATCTTACGTGTCCGCTATCTCCACAGGCAGTCGAGCAACGTAATTGTACATGTCCGGCCGACCATACGTACGTTAATATTATTGTACAATTTCACAATGGAAAATTGAATACTCCACCATACATCGTTTATTACAAAATAAACTTTCACCGTAAAACAAAATTACACATTTCATGGATATATTCGTATTATTTAAATAATCTTAGAGAAAGCAAATAACTATGTAAAATTAAAAAAAAAAAAAAAAATTCTAATGGATGATGCAGAGTTAGTGGTGACCCAAGCGGAAATAAGGTCGCGAAAAACAATAGATATTAGTTATTGAAAACTGTATGGAAACGCTAATGGATGAAACGTGTGATCGGTAAGCGTAAAATAACGGTGGAGTTGGCGCGGAAAGGAAGGCCTTTCGTCATTCATTTTTTTAACCTGCTATCATGTACATTCTCATCACACGTTGTTCGACTAGATTCGTGTATGTACTATCGTGAAAACGGAGCATGTATATCAGATTCATTTACGGAATACCAATGTTACCACGTACAAGCAATAATTTATGAATGCAAAGCTCGTATCAATGTAGGACGATAATTACCGTACCTAATTAACTGCATATTTATAATCACGATTGAAATATTTTATCAATTGTATTTAATAATGAAATATATAATATAAATCTATGATTAAAATTTCGAGAGGACATTGAACTTTGCGAGGATGACCTTCAACTCGTATCTCACGGAATCGGTTAGCTTTTCCGGTATACATAGTTATAAGATACGTGTATGGTATTGCGGTATAGTAATCTAAACGCGGTATCAGATTCTATGTAATACCGGTGCAACTGTTTGCTTTACATCATATTATCGCACGTTTTGATTTGATGTAATTTACTATGTAGATAGGTAGAGGCAATGTTACGTTTTAAACCTGCTTATTCTCTCTACGAGGTCATCATATGTGAAAGTAATTAATCGGCAAATTCATTTACTGCATAGTTCTTGCTCTTTCCTTTCATTATATCCGCTTTCTATTGTTCTCCGTTATGCCGGTTGCCTTCATGGCGAGTGCCCGCTAACCGGAAACAACTTGGAAAAACGCGAAACCGGGAGGATCGACACCTACGCTCGAGATGTAGAGAAAGAGAAGTTTCTCTGGTTTTTTATCCAATTTCTTTGAGATTCATATTTTGAACGCCGCAATTTACTTCCATTCACTTTTTCCTTGTAAAGAAACTTTCTTACACGATACCATGATGACTAGCGCATGGGTACCTGATGACCCACGCAACACCCTTAAATATAATGCAAGCGTTTAACTGTAGTTAGGGAGTTCGTAGCTCTTAGTGTTACTGCGTTAACAATGGTCAAAGAAACAAACTCGGTTAAACATCTAGGGTCTATCCGTATGGTAGAGTACAAAAGCCAGGTACGCAGAAAATAATAAATGCCGCTAAGCGACAAGGCGAAAAATCAGGTAACAGGTAAAGGTTTATTATGCCGTACATTTATGGGAATTTCCAAATTCATTTATTACCATCAACATCTTCAAGAAAGCTACCTGATGCCTAACGGTACTCCACGTGGAGTGTCCACCTGAGTGTCAGTCCCATACCCAATCACAGCGCGTGAAAATCGACCAATCAGAATTCATACAAATTTACACCCCCTCTCCCAAACGAACGTCCAATCCGCAGCGTCATTAGAAAACTTAACCCCACCAGGGTTTTTCTCAGGAAAATTCCTGAAACCAACAGAAGCTTCTTAAAATCTACAAAACTGAAAGTAAATTACATACAAAGTATGAAGTATCATTTACTTTTACAGTACGTATACTTGAAATATTTTGAATGGTTCCAGTGAAAAAGAAAAAGGTGGCAAACATTTTACCACTCTCACTGGATTGAAGTTTTAATTAAATCAGAAGACTCTCGAAACGTCAGACGGATTAATTTCTGGGTTAAGCTACTTGTAAATGAGCAAAAGCGATATGTTAGTTACTGGAGCAGAATACCTGTGATTCATAGAGAAAGAAAAAAGTAAAGAGTTAAAATAGTAAAACGAATATGTTGCATTGGCGTAACTGGTAAGGTAATTGCCTGAAAATCATGAGAGCCCGAGTTCAAATCCCGGCAAAGTAAAAAAATAAATCTAAAAATTAGAAATTATAAAAAATAGGGATAGGGTTCTTCTGACGTATATTTTACAAAGAAAGTATCAGAGGGGAACAAAGCTAGTAGAGTAATTGACTTACATTTAAAAATGCTTACGTTGCAAAGTAGTTATAAAGACCTTAAAGAATAGACTCAGGGAGTAGCTTGTATCAGAGTGTGTGGATGACTCATCGCTTTTATACATATTAACTTGAAGAAAAATCAGAGTGACGTCACTACGTTATCTGTAGACCCAAGTTCAACAAGGAAAGTTCAGTACAATGCTCATCGATCATTGTCTGGTATAAAAAAAAAGTGTGAAAATTTCGTGCCAATGTTTCGAGTAATGAAATTAAGGTGATTTAATGATTTATCCAGTGGCGTAATTAGATAGGGACCAAGGTGGTATAAAAGAACTTAATTTATCTTAGAAAATAATCCTAGTTACGCCAATGGATTTATCGATAAGTTATTTTAACACATCTCTATCGGCTTAAATTAAAATGTAGTATATTTACTGAAAAAGAAAAAAGCTACACAGTTTTGGTCACATACACCTCGTAGTTGGTACGTGAAGTGTAATACTAATGAGAAAAGGGTGTACAGGCTAAGAGTGTTCAAGTAGAATAGTAGTACCAATTTCCCAAGAAGGACTATAGAGCAGAAGGCTGAGACTTCTAGTTGTATGACTGAAGAACAAGGGAGAGCTTATCGTACTGTCTGAAAGGGATATTGTGTGAAGTTCTTGGTACATGCTATTTACATTCCCTTCTTGCAGCGGGGGTGGTGATAAGTCTGCAGCATTCGCAGTATCATCACTCCCACTCTGAATCACCATATAAATAGCTGCAAATTATACCATTTGCACTATTAACATTTAAGCGTGACGTCTTATGACGCCGCCCGGTGGACCGGTTTGCCATCTTATGACGACATCCGTATGAAAAGTGTTAACTATCCAATTAATAGTTACATGGAGCATTCCTAAGATGTCCTAAGAATTCTTATTTAACGTCCATCATCCCTCCACCCACCGAGACGCCCGGCTCATTGCCCCCGTACCGGAGGAATATCTCTCGGTCCGCTTTTTGTGCATCCCTCTGTATCTACCAAAGAAGAGACACGGAATATACATCGAGGGACGCGTCGAAAAGCGAGCGCGGGCGCACTCGAGACGGCAGTCGGGTTGTCGGTGTAGAGCGACGGTGTGCGGTGGCGTCGCGACGCCGGCGCACTCGGTACGATCGATTATTCCACGTTTCGCTGGCCATGTACTCGGCCGCTGGTGGTAAGAGGAGGCTAGTTGAACAGAGACGAACAGCCCAGGTGGAGGAAGCGTGTCGAGGAAGAGAATGAGAGGGTGAAAACGAAGAGGCGAGAAGGTGCGCGTGTGTCTTTTAGCGACAACGCGTGTGCAGGATCTTGAAGGAAAAAAAAAAAAGGGGGAAAAGAAGAGAAACGGTTGACAGATCAGCAGGAAGAGTTTGTTAGTGCCGAAAAAAAGGCAGCCCGCGTTGGTGCCCTCCCTCGGTTAAAAATATTCCCGCACAACGGTGCAGGATGACGTCGTTGCGGATTTAGAAGAGAAACGTAACCTGGACGTGCCGGGATCGATCCTAACACGGGTCTTCTTCAACAGCCGGCTGACACTGGCCAGAAGACATGGATTATCGGTCGACTGGCACCAGGTGCGAGGATGACACCCTGGAGAACGAGAAAGGAATCGGTGCTGCGGTAAGGGATGAAATCCTTCCTTCTCCTGATAAATGCTGTTTCAGTTTTACCCCTTCTACGATGCTCCACGGGACGTCACCCAAATCGTTATTGCCCAAGTGATTTCCGGCCCGGTATGCAGACCTTTCTTGCCGCAACAGATAAATAATACGACGAACATTAACGGTGACGACAGTGTGCGATAAACGACATCTGCTGTCGATTAACTATTTCAAGGGTATCGATGTTAAATTAGTAATCAAAGGTTTAAGCGGAATTGCGATAAAAAGTCGATATACCGAGTGAATCATTATATCCACGTGTTGAAGGGTACTTCAATCTAAGATTATTTTAATTATTTATACGAGAGATATTTCGTATAATTGAAGTCGAGTCGCGTGTTAAGTATTGGTAACTGGCATTTGGATAAGTGTACGAAAGTCTTAGGGAATGTCGTTGATTTGGGGACGCGGTTACTCTATTTCTGGAGTTCGAATCGGGTTACTTCGTTTTTCAACTTCTATCCTTGCTTTGACGTTATCTGTTCCACTTGATCGACGATAAATCGAGATATATATGATGTATTGATATCGTGGATCGAATCGAGTATACGATTGATATTGTTTACGTATGTTAGTTAATGCGCAGTTTATAAAAATATATGTAAATTGCCGATAATTGGTACAATTGCATCATTCAAATTAAAAAATATTTATGAATATGATGTAACGATACCGCTCACTACTCTGCAGCTTTCACGATTCATTATAAAGCATATTAGACTTCTGATAACAATATCTATGACCTCTTGATTGTGATGGTTCAGACAGAAGAGAACTTATAAAACACCTCTATAAGAAATGTGTTTCATCTCTTATCATTTTACTTCGAGAAGAAACAAATATTTTGTATAATACAAGAAAAATATTGTCTCTTCACTGTTTGTGATAATATTGTGTATGGGTACTTGCGAGAAAGTTAGTACCGCGGATCCCTCTGGTGGCGAGCGCAGGAAGTATATACCGTCAGAATAGAGTATTAGAATTTAAGTATTAAAAGTTCAGAACGGTGAGGGGGATCACCGTTGCAGCTACCTTTACCGCAGTAATAACTGATGATGAAAACTATTGCGTAACAGTTGCATCGTTCCATCGATCGTTAGTTGATACAGCAAAACTGGTGCGAAACCGGGTGGTTGCCAAAACATTCCTAATATTCTTAACACGATTTTTTCTTTTTTTAAATGTTCCAGGGTGAACATAAGGGTGCATCGAAGCGTGGCGGCTCCCATACACGTGGCACGGCGATGTCTTTCGGTTTTCGACGAAGACCAACCTCCGGGATACCGGTACCGAAAACGAGCCTGCCGATCGAACTGAGCATGCTGCATCCTCGATCGAAATCAGCCGGCCCTGAACAGAACCGCAGACGCGACGAGGACACGAACATCATCCACAATTCGTCGTCGGGCCGATCGACGCCTCGTCTCGCGCCCCCTAAGAAAGAAGCCAGCGGTATAGCCGTCAGAACGAACCGCTTCGGCTACCGTCAGTCCCAAGCTAAATTCACCAACAAAGTCGGCGACATCCGCAGCAGCCACAGCGTGAGCCATTACAACCACGAGAAGCTGCAGCAACAACAGCAGCAGCAAGAAGGTTTCGTGAAACAACCGCACAGGGTTCAAGTGTCCAGTGTACCGGCACCGAAAGGCAAACCGTCGCCTGTACACAATCCGAATTCGTACAATAACACGAACATCAATCATTCCGATGGTAATCGCAGAACGTCGAGTATCCCAGAGCCAATTGGCAGGTATACCCTTCACACCAGCCACCTGCCTCTACCTCAATTCGCAGTGAGAATGACCGATGCTAATTCAAAAATCGCCAAGACTGCGGCTAATCAGAGCAGAAAGGTCTCTGCAACGTCCAAAAGTTCCACCAGCTCCAAGGAAGGTTCAGGCACTGAGGATTCTGGCGTTGGAAGTCAGCAAGGTTGTCCTGGAGAGAACGATCTAAGGAGCGTTGATTATACCGACGGTTCCCTGTCGAGGAGACGAGGCGTAGGCAGACCCAGGAATCTAAGGATGGTCGTGAATGGGAAGAGCTTCGATGTCAGGGACGTTAGGGACGATGACAGTACGGTTACCGAGATATCTGTTATTCCATTGCCGAAGACATTCGCTGCAGCCAGCACTGGACTGGTTAGAGAAAGAACCACCCAGTATCAAAGAATTGTTAATAAAGACAATAGGTACACCGAGTCGACGACATCTATGTCTACTACATCGTCCGAGGGATACGACGAAGGTTTGGGCGAGGAGAAGGTTTACAAAGACAGATCACATTCCGAGAAGATTCCTTCTATCAAGTCAGACTTCAGTCCGCCTAGTTCTGATGATCCTGAATACGGCCATGGAGAAGCGATGGCTGATGAGTATTCGTTGAGCTCGAGCGACGAGTGTCAACGATCTACTTCCGCTCAACATTTGCAAACTAGCACGGATACAGCAAAGAATGGAACGGTCCCAAAGACAGCTTTACGTTCTGTACTTCTAACCATCGAAGATCCTGCGTTCGCCGCTGCTGCGGCTACGTCTACTGCATTGATAGACGATGAAACCTCGCCTGTGGATAGCCTCTTCGACAGCCTAACAGCCAGCATTACACAGTCGGATGCTAAAGCTCCTAAGAAAGAATATGCCATGGAGCAGTCTGGAAATACGATTGACGACGACAGTCCTGGAACACCGACGAACGTTTCCAATTCGTTGAGCCTGTCCGAGGGTAGAGAATATTTTGACGACGAGATCGCTGATCAACCTGGGCTCGTCTTTGACGATAATTCCAGAGCCGGAGGTGAAACACAGTCTGCTATGGCTAGTCAAGCTGTCACTGAAAATAGTCACACCCTCGTTGAGTCCAGTCCTAAAACAGGTAAATATGATTGAATTAATATGATGGAATTGTTAGTGCTTGTAAGATGAAGCGAGATCAATTATGTGTTTCTTTTATCTGTTTAAATTTCTTAGATTACGTTAACGAGTTACTACCTTCTTTAGGTACAGGACATGGAAAAAATGCAACAAACAGTCCTCACCATGGCAAACGAATAAGCCGAGCTGGAAGCGTTGACACGTTATCTCCTTGTGAATCTATTGCTTCTGATGATTTAATATTGGATTACGAGCAAAGTGATGCGAGTTCCTATGAAGAGCAACAACAACGGTTAGTATTGTATTTTTAGTTTAATAAGTTATTTAAAGTCTAATATGTAACGTATTTTGATTGTTTCCTCTTTTTTGGATTTCAGGGTAGAATCGAACACTGCATTGCAGGATATGGACGATGCTACCATTCTCTCAGAATTAGAAGCTCAAGGTGAAGAAGTGATGAGGCAGTGGACCTCTTTACTGGGCACTTGTCAAATGCTACAGCAGACTAATAATTCAAATACAGTAAATAACAATGTAAATGGTGGATCAACCAATAACAATAATCAACCGGCCAACGAAATAGGGTGTGTATTGAAACGTTTTCTACTATTTTTGAGATTTTTAATTGCTTCATAGTGATCATGACTTAAAGTAATGCATGGTAGACGAAACAAAATTGGAAGTAAAATATATTCGGATTGTTCTTAGGTAATGTTAAGTATTAATTTTTTTTTCTTTTCTTTTTTTTCATAACAAGAAATCAGTATCCCTTTCTAGTTGAAGAAATGTAAAACTTTTTTGTAGCTTAAAGAAAGCTTTTTTTGTTTGTTTTTTCCATACATTTATTGTATATATGTTGCTTTGCTTTGTGTTATTATATATGTTAATTTGTACTTATTGTACACTATAAATGGCGTTCGAAATGCCGTGTTTTATCATAAAATTCCTGCAAGATGAATTTCAAGTAATTGAACAGATAAACTTTATTTTAGAAGCACTATGTATATTATTTCTTATATGGAAGAATATTGAAGTGCTAACTTTAGTTCCATAATATGAAAACTTACATGTATTATTATTATTATCGGGAAAGGAGTTTATTTTAATTTTTAGGATATTTAAGGTAAGTTATGTAATAATGTACATAAATGTTTCAGTATATTTTATTTCATATTCTTCTATTTGATTATTACTGCTATTACTATAACATTTAATTCTGATAATTCCTATACATTTATGATATAATTCTTGATATAGTTTAATATAACTAAACATATTTGAATATTATTCCTGATACTGAATGTTTTATTTCTCATGCATGCCATAAGCATGATAAATTTTATAATTTATAAATACAGTACTACTGTGCAGTATATTCTTATATTAATTTTTACAAGTTTATTTATTTGACTGTAGTAATACATTTTTAAAACCTGCAAAATTAATATCTCTAATTGAAATTGCTTACGTGAAAGTGTTTAGGTTTGATATAAACACTTTACTTGTGATAAAGATTTATGATAACTATATATCAAGCATTGATTAATTTTTTTTAGAATTATTTATGTAATCGATTTAGATTGTATCGTTTTAACAAACATTTATAAAACGTGTCAAGGTTTGCTATACATGGTAGGCATATTTTTGTGATGTGTAAAATATTTTTATTCATATAATTCAGAATCTTCAACATTTCTAATATTAGTTCCAATATTTATAATTACGGTGTTCAAATTTGGCGCGTGAGCGCCTTTCCCCCCCTCTTTCCGGTAAGTGTCATGGCGGCGCCGGCAACTCAAGCTTGCAACGCGTTACGCGTTAGTCACGCGTGTGCGCTCGTACCGTTTGGGTCGTTCGGTAATTTTTCAACCGTTGTTGCCTTATCGTGTTTGCTCAATTATCAAGTGATTTTTTATATACGAGTGAAGTGTTACAACAGTAGTGAACAAAATAGAGTGTAAATTAAAATAAAACGAAACGCGTATCTATGGTTTATCAAGATATCAATTTAGTGAACAGGTATACGTTCAACGGTGAAGTACTGTCAACAAAGAGAGCGTCATATCGAAGACTTTAATAAAATTTACGAAGCACCACATGGATATACCGATTTTTTTATATTTTTATTGAGACCTGCTTGAAATAAGGTTTGATTAGATGAATTAGCAAAATATATTATCAGCGTTAGTGTCACTGTATTTACATATATTCTCATTTAAGAAATTAAATGTCTGCTTTAAAGCTCTGAAGCGTCTCCCTTTAGAAAAATTCATTTTTCTCTACAGATAATAATATTTAGGTGAGTTGAAATGATAACATCAGGTGACTCACCCTGTATACCCAGTATACATGTAAGGCAAAATGTTACCGTAGTATGCATTGGATTTGTTTAAAATATAATTTTCATGTAAGCTCCCTCGTACGTTATAATTTAATTGCGCTTTAATCGTGTATGCTGCATGTACATTTACCCAAATTTTTTTTCTGATGAATGTTTGAAAGATGTACGCCAGTTTCTTTTCATTCGTCACTCGTAGTTTACTCTAAACCGTAATGTATTAGAATCATAGAAATTACATTGAATTTTTTTTCAATTTTGCCCGGATACTATTTTCCGTAACGTTACGTTATGGAACCATGAAAGCGTTAAATAGTACTAAAAGCATTGACGTGACTAGCTAATGCGATCTTATGCAAATAAAATTAAATATAAAATTCTTACAATGTGAAATTATGAATAAAATTATGTTTGAATTAAGTAACACCAGGTACCTGATATTTTTACTCCATTTAGGGAATTTAGTCCACCCTAGAAAAAGTCCTAGTTACGTCAATCAAAAGTGCTCGAAGTAAATCCAATCGTATTTTAATACTGTTTGTACTGATTTTGTCTGAAATTTGGAGATTCGTGTTGCTCGTATTTAGTTCGTTTAATGTCCCTCGTCTTTTCAACAATTTTTCACTTATGTTTAATAAATCCTTGCCTTATAATAAAAGGCATAAAGATTAATTACGTTTTTCATTTGAAGTGAGTCGACTGCTAGGATTCCTTTGCTTTGTTAAAAACAATTTATGTTGCTTTTATGTTTCGTTCGCTTTTTAACTCAGATTTCATTTAGGCGCGATTTAAGATTTCTTGAAATAACGTTGCGAAAAAGGCAAAGCATAGAATTATGTATTTATAAAGTAATCGTCAAATGAAACAATGAACGAGAGAAGTTTGCGAAAGGAAGAACTATCCTTGGATTAAACAAAAGAATCCCTGGGAAAGAGCTGTTTTATTAACAATAATGACAGAGTTTCGTCACGCAATTCCCTTTAATATAATCTAAAGAAACGAGCGTTAGTTGCGTTGAACTTCTCTCCTTGTTTGTGTTTCTTTCAGTTTCTGTTCTTAAGAGGGCATATACACGTCTAAGGTCCAAGAAGCGGTCAATATTTGTGAATTTTTTATAGAAGAAATTGGAACGTTATTTTAAGAAGTACATATGCTCCCTTAAAAACATCCAGTTTCAATTTGAGTCTATTAAAAAGTAGTCACGTGTGGTCCGCCATATTTAGTTACACTAAATCGTTATAAATTTTGCATCATTTTATCTCCCTATAAAAATAATAAGTCATAGATCTCATTTAAACAGTCCATAGTATTCTATAATAGTACATCGAAACGGTCTAATTTTCATTCGTATGAAGAAAATAAAAAAGAACGCAATTTCGCTATCAATTTTAAGGTTATAAATTGGCATATGTACGATACGAACAGATTGGAATGCGCAGGCGCACGCGTTGTGGCGCGAAATTCAAATGTTAAAAATTATTGAAACAAAGGCAAAATTGAAAGACGTCAATTCAGCGATAGTATTTTGTGTTCTAGCGCGCTAATAAAGCGAGTGAAGCAATTGCAAAGCCCCGATGAGGACTCCGCGGGTGGGGACTACTACCAGCTGACATATCCTAACTAGCGACCACAACCCGCCGGCCCTTCTCTGTCGACTAGCGAAAAACCACACTAATCGCAGTGATTAAGTCGGCATAATGTTGAAAACACGGACGTACACTTAGACAGGGACACTGATAAGCCGCATACGAGATATAACACTCTTCGATAGAAGAGAGAGAAACATAAACAAAATGGCGAAACAATATCGTGACTCAGTTTATTCCATAATATAGGGTTTTCCAAAATGGCCTTTAGGTTTCTTTTAAATAATAAAATGCGATGAAACCAGGAATTTTTAAAAAAATTCACTTAATTTGGAAATACTAATTTATGCTAATTAAAAACTAACAAAATTTTGATAAATGACTATAGTCACCTTTAGTAACGAAAGGGTTAAAGTTTTAGATTCTTTTGGGACACCCTGTATAAACGATGGACATCAGAACGCTAGCACAAGTAATAGATGACGAGAGTAATAATGACGATGAGGTATTGATGATAACACGTAACATGTGTAGACGATAGAGATTATTTTTCCAATTTCATACAAGTCTCCGTCACGTCCGACAAATTTTTTCCTTGTCAAAAGAAAAGTTCCAAAGTTAGAACCGTTATCGGTTCGATCGTCCTTTTTCAGTGTGTTTTCTAGTCTCCTAGATGAACTAATTAATCGTCGCTTAATTGATAATAATATTACTACATATACGCAGAATTCATACTCGATTTCCAATATTAATATTACATACGAGTATACTAATTATTATCGTAGGCTGGAAATATACTTAGCTATGATCCTTGGAAAAGTATTATCCAAGAAAATGATCGGCGACAGCTTAACGTTCGTTTTCGAGTTCATTTTTTCTTTATACTTTTCTTTTAAATGAACAGCATGTTGTAAAGAAATATTATTGCACGATTGCCTCCTTTATCCGCTTTGTTTCACTGTGATTTCGTTTTATTTCATTGTGTGAATTACTCGTGAGTTTCGTACAAATATACAGGGTGGTTCACATAAATTGAGCACCTCAATTATTAGTAGTTTAATTAACACTTTCTTTATCATAGAGGGTATAAGTATTTATTCTTTATGATAAAAGAATTTTTTACTGATTAAAAAAAGAACTCGTAGTTGCCATGGCTTAAAAATATGAACGATGAAACAAATATCAATTCAAATTTTCCCGCGTATACAATTGAATGTGTATTTGGGCCTTCCCCTACGACGCCATTTTCGTTTGGGAAGCGCGTCGTGCTTGTAGGTAAGGGACAGTATTTTAACATTTTTAGTTTTAAACATTAAAGAATAATGAAGTAACGTGTAATTTTGAGTAGAGAAATTAAAGGTTTGATTTAAAAGAGCCCCTACCGTGGTGCTTGAAGTTCAATAACGAAAATAAGTGACATCGTCAGGTTAGGTGAACCGCCCTGTATAGGTAAGTAGGTGAGAGATGATATGAAATATTAGTTTCCTTTATCTTAATGTATAGATATTGGTGTTATCGTAGAGTTTTAGTAAAAATCAGTTCGATAATAGATTAAATTATCATTAAATTATCTCACTGAACGCGCTACTTTTCTTTGTTTTATTAGGTGTACATAAATCGTGCTTCATGTATCATATGTATTCTGAAACAAGATAAGATA